AAGGACATAAATGTAATTTATGTACAGCGTTGCATGACCATGCAATTGTCAATTAAATTAACGCAGCGCCGTATCGCAAAAAAATGGCCTGGTCAGGAAGGGAGGTAAATCTCCTGGAGGGCAAGTGGTTAAGGCAAGACTGTGTTTTTCATTTTGAATAAAGTAAGGGAGGGTTTTAACCCCTGTTGGTTTTTTGCCATTGGGGAGATTTCCCTTCACTTCCTGTCGCATAGCCAAAACAGGAAGTGAGAGGAAATCCTTCTAAAGTCAGGGAGTCCCTAGTTGTCACCAGAACTAGTGTCCCCAGTGAAAGATTTCCTCTCTATTCCTGTTTTGGTGACAACCCAAAATTTGGGATTTTCTTTCACTCTGGAGAGGGGGAATCTCCCTAACTGGTGCACAGGCAGCAAAAAAAACAAAAGACCCGGCAGGGGTTCTATTCACTCTCCACTCTATACAAAGGTAAAAAAAAAAAGTTTTGCCTTTTATTATACTTTTAAAGTGGTTCTAAAGCCAAAACATTTCTTGCCTTAATGTGTTCCCTGCATTAAGGTAAAAAATGTTTTATTTCTCTTTTGTGTGGGGAGGGGGGGGTTGAGAGGGGGACAAGGGATCAGCGCTGCGTACGGCTGCATCTATCCCCTTTCTTCTTCACACAGGGCTCGAGCAGCAGCCACTGGCTCCTACTGCTGTGAATCAAATGCAGTGAGGAGGAAGTGGGGGGCGGTGCTAAGTCTCGCTGTGTGCCCCCATAGCAAGCGGCTTGCTGCAGGGGCACATGAAGAAGAGGGAGAGCTAAGATCGCCGCCAGGGGCCGCTCTGTGCAAAACCACTACACAGAGCGGGTTAGTATAACATGTTTATTATTTTAATTTTAAAAAAAAAAAATTACCTTTTAGCCCTGGTTCACACTGATGTGAATTGTCATGCGATTTGACCGTTCAAATCACATGACAAATCGCATCCAATGATTGGCAAAGGAACTGTTCTAATCCGTGCCAAGTCACGCCGATTAGAAAAGTCGTTTCTGCGCCACTTGCTGATTTGGGGTACGACTTGCATAGACATTTGTGCATGAAGTTGCACAGAAAACGATCAAGTCGCACTGCCATCCGGCTTTGAAATCGTGCAACTTCAAGTGAAGCTGAACGATTTAAAAGTCGGGTTCAGCGTGAACCAGGGCTTAGTGTTACTATAAAGTGGTTTTAAAGGTTCAAGGGGTTTTTTTTACCTTCATGGATTCTAAACATAAAGGTAAAAAACCTTCTGTATGCAGCAGCCCCCCAGCCCCCTCCCAATTTTTACCTGAGCCCCCTCTAATCCAGCGACATTCTCTGCTGTCTGGGGGCTCTTCCTCCTCATTGGCTGAGACAACAGCTGGAGCCCGTTGGCTCTTGCTGCTGTCAATCACACCCAGTGAGCCAATAAGGAGAGAGTGGGGGGTGGGGGCCGAGACAAGGCAAGCCTTCGTTGTGTCCTATGGCCACAGCTGATCACGGGGTACGGTCAATGGCCAATCATGGCAGCTTTTACCATGTGATCAGCTGTGTCCAATGACACAGCGATCACAGGTAAATACAGTGGCCCAGCTGTGCCCATCAGTGCTGCCCACCTGTTCCACTCAGCAGTGCAACCCATCACTGCAGCATCATCAGTGCCAGCTCATCATTGCCGCCTATCAGTGCTGCCTATCCATGCCACCTCATCAGTGCTGCATATCTGTGCTCATCAGTGCAGCCTCATCAACGCACATTGGTGAAAGAGAAAAATTACCTGTTTACAACATTTTATAATATAGGTACAAAGAAAAACTTTTTTTTTTATGCTCTTTTTTTTGTTTATAGCGCAAAAATATAAAAACACCCAGCAGCGAGTGAAAGAAAGCTCTGTTTGTGTGAAAATTATTAAAATGTCATATGTCATATGTTGCATGACCGTGCAATTGTCATTCAAAGTGTGACAGTGCTGAAGGCTAAAAATTGGCCTGGGCAGGAAGGGGGTATAAGTGCCCTGTAGACAAGTGGTTAAACATGTCCAGTAAAAAAAAATGCAAAAACCAAATTTCGGCATAAATTTCGGCCAAAATGTATTCTGTGACATGTCTTTGTTAAAAAAAACAAATCCCAATACATAAAAATGGCGGTATAGATACTGGAATTTTTTTTCTACTAGTAATGGCGGCGATGAGCGACTTATAGCGGCACTGCAGCAGACATTTTGACACTTTGACACTGGGGGGAACTGACTTGGTGTTACTGACATCCCCAGTGACACCAATACAGTGATCAGTGCTAAAAGAAACCAGCACCGACACTGTACAAATGGCACTGGGCAGGAAGGGGTTAACATGTGGGGTGATCAAAAGGTTAACTGTGTGCAGGGATTTTAACTGGGGGGCTTTGTCTGTGTGCTTCACTGTAATCGTACTGCTCTGGATGGCTGTGCTGTGCACAGCCATCCAGAGCAGTGTTCCTGAGCTGACACAGAGGCGTAAACAAAACAGTCCTCCTCCCTGTCGGAGATGCTCGGTAATCACTGGGCGCCAGCGGGTAATCACCGGGCGCCAGCGGGTAATCACCGGCCAGGACCCAGTGATTGACATCCACAGCCGCGAACGGTGGCGCGGGTAGGGCGTGCGTGCTGCTCACACGCGCCCCCTACCCGGAAAAAATCATGTGTGTGTGTTTACGTGATTTTGCGCACACCCTGCCGCTCTGTAGCAGGTGAACATGTTTATTGGACGCATTGTATGTATACAGAGATCGGAGGTGTATACAACGTGATTATTACACGCATTGTATGTATACAGCGATCGGAGGTGACCGTGATTATTACACGCATTGTATGTATACAGAGATCGGAGGTGAACGTGATTATTACACGCATTGTATGTATACAGCGATCGGAGGTGAATGTGATTATTGGACGCATTGTATGTATACAACGATCGGAGGTGAACGTGATTATTGGACGCATTGTATGTATACAGCGATCGGAGGTGACTGTGATTATTACACGCATTGTATGTATACAGAGATCGGAAGTGAAACGTGATTATTACACGCATTGTATGTATACAGCGATCGGAGGTGACCGTGATTATTACACGCATTGTATGTATACAATCGGAGGTGACTGTGATTATTACACGCATTGTATGTATACAGAGATCGGAGGTGAACGTGATTATTACACGCATTGTATGTATACAGTGATCGGAGGTGACCGTGATTATTACACGCATTGTATGTATACAGTGATTGGAGGTGACTGTGATTATTACACGCATTGTATGTATACAGCGATCGGAGGTGAACATGATTATTACACGCATTGTATGTATACAGCGATCGGAGGTGACCGTGATTATTACACGCATTGTATGTATGCAGCGATCGGAGGTGAACGTGATTATTACACGCATTGTATGTATACAGCGATCGGAGGTGAACGTGATTATTACACGCATTGTATGTATACAGCGATCGGAGGTGAACGTGATTATTACACGCATTGTATGTATACAGCGATCGGAGGTGAAGAGGTTCACCATGTCGGTCCTTTCATTGAGGGGAATGGGAATTGACAAGATGTGGAACTCAGCAGTTTTCAGGAACTTCTTGTATTGAGAAAAGCGAATATTTGGGGATTTTTTTGTTTGTTGCTCATCCCTGTACAATGGCCTCCATTGTGTGCATTTCTTATAGAAGACTTCTGCACTTCCAAGCATTGTGAACATCTGTCTTTCCTGCCTGTCTGTCCTTCATTCTGATAGTCTGGTAGGAGATCTGCCGTGTGTGAGGACTGGCAGGCTGCTCTTCTTATGTGTCCTATTAAATATGTTCTGGCTGGAGATCCGCAAGGTAGGTGGAATCTTCTACTGAGTGGGGGCCAGCATGCTGGGAAATCTCTGAAAGATCACGTCCTTCTCTTACTGTTCATTTCAGGCTCTATGTACACTAGTTGTGTTTTTCTTTTTTCGTTGTTTTTTTAAGCTCAAAAAATGCTGGTAGTTGCGTTCTTTAGTAGCGTTTTAGTAGTGTTAGCGTTTTTAAAGTACATGTAGGAAAAAAAAACAAGGTAGAAAAAAGCTGTTAGCGGTTTAGGGGCGTTTAGCCGCTGAAGGATCATTTCCTTTGTTTCCTTTGTATTTCAGGCTCTGTGCACACTGGAGTATTTTTATAACCTTAAAAACGCTGGTAATAGCATTTTTTTTTTTTAGTGTTTTATTAGCATTTTTAACCGCTAGCCCACAGGGCACTTACACCCCCTTCCTGCCCAGGCCAATTTCCAGCTTTCACCGCTGTCACACTTTGACAATTGCGCGGTCATGCAACACTGTACCCATATGAATGTTTTATCATTTTTTTATGACAGATAGAGCTTTATTTTGGTGGTATTTAATCACCTCGGGGATTTTTATTTTTTCTTAAACAAACCAAAAACCACTGAAAATTTTGAAAAAAAAAAAAAGTTTTTTCTTCGTTTTTATTATAAAATTTTGTAAATAAGTGATTTTTCTCCTTCACTGTAATGTGCTAATGAGGCGGCACTGATAGGTGGCACTGGTAGGTGGCACTGATGGGCATTGACAGGCATCACTGATGGGCACTGAAAGGCAGCACTCTCATATATGCCACTGATAGTTGGCACTGATAAGCTGCACTGATGGGCGGCACTGACGCGCACTGATAGGCAGCACTGACGCGCACTGATAGGCAGCACTGACGCGCGGCACTGATAGGCAGCACTGACGTGTGGCACTGATAGGCAGCACTGACGCGTGGCACTGATAGGCAGCACTGACGCGTGGCACTGATAGGCAGCACTGACGCGTGGCACTGATAGGCAGCACTGACGCGTGGCACTGATAGGCAGCACTGACGCGTGGCACTGATAGGCAGCACTGACGCGTGGCACTGATGGGCAGCACTGACGCGTGGCACTGATGGGCAGCACTGACGCGTGGCACTGATGGGCAGCACTGACGCGTGGCACTGATGGGCAGCACTGACGCGTGGCACTGATGGGCAGCACTGACGCGTGGCACTGATGGGCAGCACTGACGCGTGGCACTGATGGGCAGCACTGACGCGTGGCACTGACGCGTGGCACTGACGGGCGGCACTGACGGGCGGCACTGACGGGCGGCACTGACGGGCGGCACTGACTGGCATTGATAGGTGGCACTGATGGGTAACACTGAAAGTCAGCTCAGATGGGCACTGATATGTGACATTGATGTGCACTGCTAGGCACGGATGTGGCATGGATGTGGCACTGATGGGCACTGGCAGGTGGCATGGATGAGCACTGACAGCTGGCACTGATGGACACTGACAGGTGGCACTGCTGGGGCTACACAGATCATCAGGGCACACTGATCATCAGTGCTCTGATGATCAGTGTACATGTCCCCTCTGAGGAATGCCGATTACCAGCTCTCCTCTCCTCTCCTCTCCTCTGTCAGCGTGACAGCTCGAGAGGAGAGAAATGCAGATAATTGTCATTTCCCTGTTTACATGTGATCAGCTGTGATTGGACACAGCTGATCACATGATCGAGCCGACATCTTCGGCTCCGAGGGACACAACGCACCGCCGATCGCCGCGCTCCGGGAGCCACGCACACGCAGATAGTATGGAAGGACATCATATGACGTCCTCCCAGAACGAGAGAACCGCCTTACGCCCGTCATATTACTATATGGCGGGTGGGAGGCGGTTAAAGTACATGTAGGAAAAAAAAACAAGCTAGAAAAAAGCTGTTGGCATTTTAGGGGCGTTTAGGCCCTGAAGGATCATTTCCTTCTCTTTTTTGTATTTCAGGCTCTGTGCACACTGGAGTATTTTTTATAAGCTCAGGCATGCTGGTAATAGTGTTTTTATGTAGCGTTTTAGTAGCATTTGGGAGTGTTAGCGTTTTATTATCATTTAAAGTACAAGTATGGAAAAAACAAGCTAGAAAAAAGCTTGATAGCAGCTTTTTAGGGTCGTTTATCAGGTTTCTTTTTCTGACAGATAAACGCTCCCAAAAACTTTTCTGCCCCTAAATGCTGAAGCTTGAAAAACTCTACTAGCCTAAGATAGTGTCCCTGGACACATAGGATAATACTATGAGCTTCTGGGAGCATAAAAAAATGCTGCTAACAGCTTCTAGGAGCTGAAAATGTTTCTAAAGGCTCAATGTTTTTTACCTTCATGCATTCTATGCATGAAAGTAAAAAAAAAAAAAAAAACCTTCTGTGTGTAGCAGCCCCCCTTAAACTTACCTCCAGCAATCCAGTGATGTCCGTGAGTCCTTGTTTCTCCGGGGGCTCTCACTCCTGATTGGCTTAGGCAGCATCAGGAGCCATTGGCTCCTGCTGCCCTCAATCGCAGCCAGTGAGCCAATCAGGAGAGGGAGTGGGGCTCTGTGTGTGAAAGGACACTCAGAGCCGCGTCTCGGGAGCACTCCTGCTCGAGTGCCCCCATAACAAGCTTCTTCTTGCGGGGGCACCCGAAAGGAGGGATCGGCCAGATACACTGGCTGGGGGGGGGGGGGGGGGACCTGAGAAGAGGGGGATCTGGTCTGTTCTGTGCAAAACCACTATGTATAGCATGTTTATTTACCCCTTCACACCGGCGCCTTCCGGCCCTTTAAGGGTTCCAGAAGCCGGGAGGTGGTGCGGGGTTAAGAGTCATGTGACGCGTTGTCACGGTGGTCACATGATCTGGAAAGGTCCCGATCGGAAGAGGAGATCGGGACCTTTCCATGAGTACCGGACATGTGTGCTGGGAGCGCGCATAGCGCGTGCTTTCGGCACAGATGTCCTTTTTTTAATAGAACGCAAATGTGCGGTCGCTCGGCATCTAGGCCGGCGTGAATAGGTTAAAAAAAAAAAAAAAAGCAAAGCTTGAGTATCGCTTTAAAAAAACACTAGTGTGAATGGAGCCTCATTTGTGCCCAGGGCAATCTGTCGTCTTTAGGATCTTTCAGAAGGGTAGTGGTAGAAACAGGTGGCTGAGCCGCAGTTATACCAACCTTACGGTCACCCGCTCGATTGTAGCAATGCAGCTGGGCAGGGCTGTGCACGTGCCATGGGTGCGGTGCGTTCCTTCACGACCAAGTCATTTTTAACTATGGGCGCAGAGTTTGACAGTCGGCACCGCCTGGCAAACTCGTCCATTGAGTTTACTGGAGCGACAGACACAACCGCGCACAATATATGTGACACAGAAGAAGGAAAATATGGAACAGCAAGCATGTGGTCCTGGGATTATTTGATGTTCCAAGAATGATTTTCCTTTTTACTAATTATCTGATTAAGTAGGATAATGGAAAGTGTATGTTGAGCCAGAAGTTTCAGTCGCTTCGTATTGTGTTGGTGGCCATACACGTAGCAAGGCGAGATTTGTGCAGTGAGCGATTGCCAATATGTAATCTATCACCAAACTGTGCCTGTGCTGACCAATCAAACCTTCCTGGACTGTCCCCCGCGTCCTTAGAGAAAGAAACGGAAGAAAAGTGCCGTTTTAAAAACCCCCAGGGAAACTGCACCAGGCTGCATGGATGGTGAAATTGAATCACCCATGGAGGTAAGTGCAGCGGGAGCCGGGGGAGTAGGGAGGACGTTCGATGTTGGTTCACCTCCTTTCATTTTTTTATTTTTTTTTTCTTCTGCAAAGGTGAGCTAACCTTTTGAAATAGTTTTCAGGGACAACGATTTCAAATCTTACTGCCAATATTCTACTAGCAATAAGATTTGGGTCTAACCTTTTTATTTATTTTTTTTTTATTTTGTTCTGAATTTTGTTGGTTTTTGTTCTGAATTTTGTTGGTTTTTGTTCTGAATTTTGTTATTGTCTTTTGAAGACCTTTCCAGGGACAAGGGCGGAGACACTTTGTAGTCATTGCAATTGTATATTTTTAGCTGTGACTTTCCCAGCTCTGTCATAGTTTTTAGGGACAACAATTTTAAATCTTACTGACAATATTCTACTAGCAATAAGATTTGGGTCTAACCTTTTTTTTTTTCTGAATTTTGTTATGGTCTTTTGAAGACCTTTCCAGGGACAAGGGCGGGGACACTTTGTAGCCATTGCAATTGTATATTTGTAGCTGTCAGTTTCCCAGCTCTGTCATAGTTTTTAGGGACAACAATTTCAAATCTTACCGCCAATATTCTACTAGCAGTAAGATTTGGGTCTAACTTTTTTTTTTTTTTCTGAATTTTGTTGGGGTTTTTTTTTCTGAATTTTGTTGGGTTTTTTTTTTCTGAATTTTGTTGCTGTTTTTTTCTGAATTTTGTTACTGTTTTTTTTCTGAATTTTGTTGGTTTTTTTCTGAATTTTGTTGGGTTTTTTTTTCTGAATTTTATTATTGTCTTTTGAAGACCTTTCCAGGGACAAGGGCGGGGGCACTGTAGCCATGGCAATTGTATATTTTTAGCTGTGACTTTCCCAGCTCTGTCATAGTTTTCAGGGACAACAATTTCAAATCTTGCTGCCAATATTCTACTAGCAATAAGATTTGGGTCTAACAGTGGCTAAATGGTTAGCACTTCCGCCTGGCAGTACTAGGGTCGTTGGTTTGAATCCCAACCACAGCACCACCCTCCTGCAGTTTGCATGTTCTCCCTGTGCCTGCGTAGGTTTCCTCCAGGTACTCTGGTTTCCTTCCACACTCCAAGGACATGCTGGTCGGTTAATTGGCTCCTGTCTAAATTGGCCCTGGTATGTGTATGTATGAATGTGAGTTAGGGACCTTAGATTGTACTCCCCTTGAGGGTGAGGGACTGATGTGAATGTACTATATACATGTAAAGCACTGCATAAATTGATGGCGCTATATAAGTACCTGAAATAAATAACTTTTTTTTTTTTCTGAATTTTGTTGTTTTTGTTTTTTTTCTGAATTTTGTTATTGTCTTTTGAAGACCTTTTCAGGGACAAGGGCGGGGACACTTTGTAGCCATGGCAATTGTATATTTTTAGCTGTGACTTTCCCAGCTCTGTCATTGTGCCGTCATGTTCCTACCTGCAGGCCTGGTTCGGCGTGACACTGACAGCGTGCACAGCCCTCCTCAGTGCCGTCTGCACAGTCAGCACAGTGTGTGTATGTGGAGGGGGGAGCGTGGGATCTGTGACTCACTGATACTCTATTACATAAATCCCACGTGCCGCTGGAAGCTCCTGAAAATCACCCGCAGCTATGTGCTGCTGACTTGGAATTTCTGTGGCTAAGGATCACCTATAGCGGATTTTCTGCACCGTAACATTGTAACATTTTACCAGAAATTCTATTTTTTTTTTTTGTGACTTTGATTATTATTATACAGGATTTATATAGCGCCAATAGTTTGCTCAGCGCTTTACAATATAATGGGAGACAATACAGCAACAATACAGTTCAATACAAGAGGGATAGAAGGGCCTGATCCTTGGAGCTTACAATCTAAGAGACTTTGATAGTTGTCTTTACTTGCTGTTCCATGTTTTCAGTTTGGCGTTTTTATTTATTAATTATATATTTATTTATTATTTATTTCAGGTACTTGTATAGCGCTGGCAATTTACACAACACTTTACATATATATATGAACATTCACATCAGTCCCTAACCCTCAAGGGGTGTACAATCTAAGGTCCCTAACTCACATTCATACATACACATACTAGGGACAATTTAGACAGGAGCCAATTAACCTACCAGCATGTCTTTAGAGTGTGGGAGGAAACCGGAGGGGGGATATGATCAATCTGTATAAATACATCAGTGGTTCATATAGTGAACTCGGTGTAGAGCTATTCCCCCTGAGGTCATCACAGAGGACAAGGGGGCACTCTTTACATCTGGAGGAATAGATATTTAATCTCCAAACACGGAAAGGTTTCTTCACAGTGAGAGCTGTGAAAATGTGGAATAGACTCCCTCAAGAGTTGGTTCTGGCCAGCTCAGTGGATTGCTTTAAAAAAGTCCTGGATTCTTTCTTGGATACACCGAATATAACTGGATATAACATTTATAGGTAAAGTTGATCCAGGGAATATCCGATTGCCTCTCGGGGGATCAGGAAGGAATTTTTTTTTCCCCAGCAGGAGCAAATTGGATCATGCTTTGCTGGGTTTTTTTTTTTTGCCTTCCTCTGGATCAACTGTGGGTATAGGATTATACCTTTTTTTTTTTGAGTGGTTGAACTGGATGGACTTTTGTCTTTTTTTTTCAACCAGATTAACTATGTAATGATACTGTTTGACAGCCGGGCGGTTAGCATTTTGATGAGTTGTTCAGAAATGGTAGCCTATGTATTACAGTACAGTTTCCCTTTAATACATTCCTTTAATTCGGTGTGCTGCCTCTGTACCTTCCCAGTATACAAGACAGTGGCGTGTCTGTGGCCTTTGTACTTGGGTGACGTCAGCGAGTGGTTGGGGAGGATTTGCAGGGAGCTGAACAAAAGTCATTCATTGCAAAAGATGCAGTCTGCTCATTAAAGGCATACAGTGTGGGCCATATGTAACCTGCTACACGATTTTACCTGGCCCTCAGTAACCTCCCCTGTGTGTTATGGGGGGGATTTGATGTGAAAGTGGGGCTCTGGTTTGAGGTT